TCTCTTCATGGAGAGGAGTTGGTGAATGAAAGATTGGCGAACGATTAGGACTGCTGAAAACTTGAGCAAACTCCAAGCTGTCAGCTGCTCTGTTGGAACTGTTTAAGGGGGCTTTCACATCAGGGACCCGGGCCCTGATCCAAATTCACTTGACCCCAAAGTTGAGTTTGTTTGATTAGCATGAACACGATGTACCATACCTGCACACAGTGTCCCGATTTGTGCCCTAGACCAGTTGAAAAGGTGGTCTCAAGTAAGGTTCATGTGTATGCTGGTACAATACCTATCAAGTGGGAAAACCAATCGTAACTGAAAAAAAGCGGACTCCTATTTAACCCAACTACAAGGAGTTTGATTAAACATTCTTGAAGGACAACTTCGGTATTTTTCAACCTGGGCTCTATTTCCCCATGTGTATGTGTGCGTATGATTCATGGGTACCACTTGTTCTAAAATTGGTTCAGTATTGAGCTTCTTAACGAGCTAAAACGGTAATGGGGGCAAATGCGTCCCATATAAAAGTGCTTTTTTCCGCCACTGGCCGGTTCAGATCGCCAGTGCTATCTCTGTAAATAGCATATGGTAGCGGCCCTGGGGCAGTGGTGACTGTGAATGAGTGGAGTCAGCTGTCAGTCAGTGTTGGAGCAGAAAGGTGGAAGTTGTCTCCGCTCGGTACTGTAAATGAGTATGTGTGTGTGAAGTTTGTGTTTTTTCGCCACTGACCGGTTCAGATCGCCAGTGTTAAATAACATGCTAACTTAGCCTTTCCCTTACCTCTGGGCTGTGTGATGTCACGAGCTTTGCGCCACTGTGTCTGTAGCTCTCTCTACTCGTGGGACAGTCGTTTTCTTGAGGAAGAGGTGTTTCAGGATTGGATGTCTTCTCCTCTTCGGCTGGCAGTAGTCATCTTGGGAGAAGTGAGCACCGCAGACCCGATGGTCTGCGAGGCGCAGTGTCTGGACAGGAGTGTTAGCATCCATTTGTAGCACAACTAGCCACAACTTCAGCATCTCGCCGTCCGACAAAGGCAGCCTATGAAAGCTGTACGGGGTGTTGCACGACATCCTGTTCTTGTGTTCGGGAAAAACGCCCGTTTATTTAGTTATTTAGTTTTAGCTCATTTCGCAGCTCAATACTGAACCAATTTTAGAACGAGTGGTACCTATGAATCATACGCACACATACACATGGGGAAATAGAGCCCAGGTTGAAAAATACCGAAGTTGTCCTTTAATTTTGCTTCTATATGAGACAGTAGCACAGCTCGTTGCCAACTGGCCGAGATCCAGCTTTTGTTTCTGCCTTCAAGCTGCTCTGGCTTGGAGCGGACCTTCACCTTGCCTCTCCACCAGTCCCCGCTGATGACAGCTCCTGGAGCAGCGGTGTGCATGTGCGGCACTCTTTCCTACACTTCAGCACAACAAAAATGTCACGAAGATGATGGCGCAAGTGTACTTGAGTGCAGAACAACATTACTAATGTGAAAACTGAGCGTCGGGGGAGTGGAAAGGAGAAAAATCAAACTATGAAAACACTTCATAAAAGATAACTGAGCATCTTTAGGTGACTAACTCGTGTTTGTTACTGCTTTTTAAAAAGGGGACGTTTTTGTTGTCTGCCACAAGGTTCAAATGTTTTTATGTTCTTTTTGTCTTTAGTTCCTCTTCTACGAGTTATACCACAATGTCCTTCTGAGTAAAGTGTGATTTCACTTCTGCTGAAACTAGACAGAAGTGGGGAAAATGTTTAAACCACTTAATCTGTGTAAAAGCCACTAAGATGAAAAACAAGACAAATGCGTATTTTCACTATCAAAAATCCACAATTGAGGGAAACGGTAATGGCTTGGTAAAGTTTCTAGCCATTGCTGCTAAATTTGGGATGGTAACGGGTGGAACAGGTGAAAATCTTTGATATTTGACAGAAAGTAGATGCACAGTAATTGTTTTGACAGGATTATTCAGTTTCAGTTCTGCTATTCTGTTTTACATCATGAAGTTAGTTCATTTACAATATTTGGTGTCAAAAAGAAACGATAACTAAAAGTGAACAGAGATGTTAATGTAGCTTTTGTGTTAAGCTGTTAGTATCAAATAACTGTAGAGCAGGCCAACATTAAATCTGTAATTTCAATGGTGACTGGTAAATTATCAGCAGCCTTAGTAAAGCTGGATCCTGTTGTTTGGGTTTCATTATTCAACTGGCTATGTACAGAGGGGATTTTCTTTGTCTTTTTTTTTTACAGGAAAAATCAAAGCACATACATGTCTCAAATGTGTTGTAATAAAACTTACATTATACTGAGTATGTGTTGTTATCTCTATTATATTTTTATCTAGTAAGTTTTTTTGTATTTCATTATGTAAAAGTATTTTTAATGTTTGCAGACCTCTGTGTACACACGGTCCGAGGAGGGAATATCAGGGTTTTCCAAAAGCATCTTAAGGCTTCGATGACTTGTAAGTAGAGTAATTCACTTGCAATACACTCCATTTTCTACACCTTCCACAATTTGAATTTAGATTCATAAGAATGTGGCTGGCAAGAGTATTGGGATGATAATGAAATGGGAAGGCATCTGTAAAAAAATATGAAAGCATGTTATTACTGAAAGAATATAGGTCAAGGACTTGGAGGAAGACACCACCATTATCTGTTGGAGTCAAGGACATACAAGCCTCAATGAATCAGTTTATAAAACAAGTGAACACCCAGCTGGAGTATGTACACTCTATTCAGCCAAAATCCACCAAGGAACCAAAACATAATACATTTGAAAACCTTGGGAAGGTGTAATGAAAAATATAGAGTCATTTGATTAACTATTTAAAAGAAACAGGTTTAGGTCTTATGTGTCAAAATGTTACCAGACAAACTTACTGTTTCATCAGCAATAAACCCATCAGGAACAAATCTCTGTTATTCTTAATTGTTCCACAGTGATACTATCTCTAATGTGTCAATTTCTGATGAACGTGACCTTAAAATGTCCTATGAGCTTTGTATAATTAGACAATTCTCTTTAAATAATACTTTTTCAATCAAATCCATCCCATCTGGACTAATTCAATTAATGTTTAGGAGGAGGTGGCATTCTAGATGCACTATACTCATTTCTTTGGCACAGACATACTGTGTAAGAAATGTGATAATGAACATACAGTGCCCTCCAAAAGTATTGGAACAGTGAGGCCAATTCCTTTATTTTTGTTGTAGACTGAAAATATTTGCGTTTGACATCAAAAGATGAATATGGGACAAGAGATCAACATTTCAGCTTTTATTTCCAGGTATTTACATCTGGATCTGATACACAACTTAGAAGATAGCACCTTTTGTTTGAACCCCCCATTTTTCATGAGAGCAAAAGTATTGGAACATGTGACTGACAGGTGTGTTTTGTTGCCCAGGTGTCTCCCATTTACATTGATTATTCAAACAATAAATAGCACTGGATGTCTGAGCTCAGTTTCAGATTGGGTACGATAGGTTTTGCCTGTGCAGACTGCATTTAGAGGTGGAACCAACATGAAAACCAGAGAGCTGTCTATGGGTGAAAAAGAAGCAATTGTGAATCTGAGAGAAGATGGACAATCAATCAGAGCCATTGCACAAACATTGGCCATAGCCAGTACAACCATTTGGAATGTCCTGAAGAATAAAAAAACCACTGGTGTACTAAGCAACAGACGTCGAACAGGTACACCAAGGAAAACATCAGCAGTTGATGACAGAAACATTGTGAGAGCTGTAAAGAAAGACCCTAAAACAACTGTTAGTGACATCAGCAACAACCTCCAGAGGGCAGGAGTGAAGGTATCACAATCTACTGTTCGCAGAAGACTTCATGAACAAAAGTACAGAGGCTACACCAGAAGATGCAAACCACTCATTAGCAAGAAGAATAGGAAGGCCAGGCTGGAATTTGCCAAAAGGTACAGAGATGAGCCTCAAAAATTCTGGGAAAAAGTTTTATGGACTGATGAGACAAAGATTAACTTTTTCCAAAGTGATGGTAAGGCGAAAGTTTGGAGAAAGAAAGGATCTGCTCATGATCCCAAACATACAAGCTCATCTGTGAAACACGGTGGAGGTAATGTCATGGCTTGGGCTTGCATGGCTTCTTCTGGGACGGACTCTTTCATCTTCATTGATGATGTAACACATGATGGCAGCAGCAAAATGAACTCAGAAGTCTACAGAAACATTTTGTCTGCTAATTTAAAGAAAGATCCAACCAAACTGATTGGGAGATCCTTCATCATGCAGCAAGATAACGACCCAAAACACACTGCCAAAACAACAAAGGAGTTCATCAGGTGCAAGAAGTGGAAGGTTTTAGACTGGCCAAGTCAGTCTCCAGACTTAAACCCAATAGAGCATGCATTTTACCTGCTGAAGAGGAGACTGAAGGGAGTAACCCCCCAAAACAAACAACAACTGAAAGAGGCTGTGGTGAAAGCCTAGAAAAGCATCACAAAAGAAGAATGCAAAAGTTTGGTGATGTCAGTGGTTCACAGGCTTGATGCAGTTATTGAAAGCAAAGGATTTGCAACTAAATATTAAGTCTCATTCACTTTAATCTATTTTAAGTTTATATGTTCCAATACTTTTGCTCACCTAAAAATTTTGTGTTCCATTACAAATAATGCTATCTTCTAAGTTGTGTATCAGATCCAGATGTAAATACCTGGAAATAAAAGCTGAAATGTTGATCTCTTGTCTCATATTCATCTTTTGATGTCAAACCCAAATGTTTTCAGTCTACAACAAAAGTAAACGAATTGGACTGACTGTTCCAATACTTTTGGAGGGCACTGTATTTGTTCATATATATTTTCTCAAAGTAAAAACAAAATAGCTGCTAGAGGTAACTTCTCTGGGAGCTAACAATCAGAAGAGATACAGTGGAAAATACTTCTGCTCTTGTCACATACTTTTATTTAAAACTTTACATACCAGTTGACACTGATAACTCCTGTTATTTTTTGCTGATGAAACAACAGTGCATTTATTCTTCAGTGTGAAATGACCTGACTTTAATTTTTATGTTGTAAAAACTCACTACTTAATCCTTAAAAATATTTGGTACTCTGATGATCTGAGTAAGACATCTCCAGAACACCATAAAACTTTTAAAACAATTAAAAGCCAAGTCCCAATTAAACGCCTAGTCCCTTTTATTAGCCGGGTGTGGCTACACATTTTGACAAATGAAGGCGTGGTCTGGTTGCCAAGCACTTCCCTTTTTTTTTTTTTTTTAAATAAAAGTTCTTCTGTTTTTTTACAAGCCATCTTTCCTTCCTTCCCTCTTTTTTTTGCGGTTTAGGTGAGCTCACAGCTCTCACTCTTTTTTTATTGTATTTTTTTAAATTCACGTTCATTTATTTAATTATTTATTTATTGACAGATTTTAATACTTTAATTTTTTATTTATTTTCAAAACAACATTTATATTAATAAATTAAATAAATAATATAAATAAGAAAACAAACACCAGCCATTCGTGAACCAATCAGTGTGTGTGACGTAAAATTTACGCGCCGTACCTGCAACGTCATCTTCAGTCGACACAAACGCCGGTTGCTAAGCGAGTAGCTAAGCAAACGTTCATAATGTCGGCAGAAGAAAGTTGTCGGTTATGCAGAACCAACCTGATGGTGAAAGGAGTGATAACAAACTCAAGAAACCTCTTCACTGTGAACTCCGTGGGAAACCCGTTGTCCCAGCGGTTCCACGATGTTGGAGTCATTTTACAAAAAAGACCCGGGGTGTTGTCTCGCAGGATTTGTGGCAAATGTTACCGAAAGTTAGTCAGGGTGGAAGAAGCTCTGAGAAATTTGAAAAAGTGGCAACAGACGGCAGAAATAGAGGCGACCATAGAAAAGGACGTACAGAGGGCGGCACAACACCGACACACGACAGAGGTATAATGCTAACGTTAGTGCTAGTGCTGAAAACGTTACAACAAATAACTGTGGCGCGTGTAACCTGAAACAGTTACAGCACACTGTTATGATATCCTGAGCATACATCTACAGTGACAACAGACTCAATTTGTTACATGTTATTTTTAAATTGGTCCACTACAGTCCAGTTTCCCACGCTCACTCATACATCCATGATCTTTGTGTATGACTCAGACATTCCTCAACAATAAAATCACACTGTCAAACTACCACTAGTCTTCTATGATGATCAGCAACTAAGGATGCACCACTTATCCTAAAACCGCAACTAACTTTTACAGTCTTCTTCTGTTCTATATTTGTGATGACGGATGTGTTGCTTCCCTTTTCTCTGTACTAAGGACAATGATGGCAGCACATCTATAATTTTAAGACATGTGGCCTCCCAAACTGACCCTACAGAGAGGAGATCAATCGGCACACAGCTGAAAAACGTCAAAAGCAGAGGTTTGAACACTTGTAACTTCAATATATTGTTGCTGTTCAGTTTCCCTAATTGAAATAGCTCATGCATGCATGCTGCTAAATCACACACACCACTCACAGAACGACTGTTTGTTTGTGTGTGCATTGAAGGTACCCAGGCAAAAATACCCAGCAGAGATTGTGGCGTTTGCACCCTCACCTACCCCTTGGACAGTTCAGTACTGTTCCTGCAGCCAACAGTAGTAAAGAGAGCATCCAAGAGACCTCGACTCAGCCTTACAGACGAGGAGGGAGGCCCTTCAGAATGCAGCTCATCTGTGGTGGATCACAACCCAGACTATTCTGCATGACCTCTGAGGACTCACTGTCGTGGGTTAGCAGCTGTGTGTTTTGGAAGTCTCTTCATGAAGAGGAGTGGATGAATGATAGATTAATGAATGGAATAATTACGACAGCTGGGAACCTACATTTTTATGGTATGGTCATGGAAAACGGTGTCTGTGCAACAATTTGTAACCTGTGTCCAACTGATATGGTGCTATTCTTCGATTTTTGGTGTTAAGCTAGTTTTTTCTTCACTTCCTGTTTAGACATTACTATACAGACAGATGTCCCTATAGGAATACTATGCAGGATTGTCAGTTACTGTGTGTAGACATGCTTGCTGGCAAAAGTGAAAGTAAAAGCCAACCCCAGATTCACTCTCATTTGGCATTTTGCCTCACTATAATTGCATTTTTCTGCACTGTGTCTCTTGGATGCCTGCTGCAGTCCACTTGAGCGCTGTGGGGGTGCACACCCATAAATGTCCCGAACACAGAAAGTACAGGCAGGCAGAGTCGCCACACACTCATACGTCTAGTGGGCCACAAGTCATGATTGAGAAGGATTAATTCTGTTTGAGTCTATACGTTGTTTTATAGGAAATTAGCATTAGGAAGGCATCAAACCCTCAGCTGCTCTTTAGGAACTGTTAGATGTGCAATAATGGAAAACTGTCTCTATCCATACAGCACACTTCCTACTTTAAAGCAGGAACATATGTGGTGCCTTGTTATGTACTGAAATTTTTACATAGGTTGTTTTTTTTCTGTTCCTTGTCTAGAAGTTACACCACAATCTTTCTGTATACATTGCAATTTCACTTCTACAAAAACTAGACAGAGGCAGGGCGGATGTTCGGACCACTAAATCTCTAGAAAAGCCACAAAGAAAGAAACACGGCCAGAGATTAGCCTCACATTGGTGAATCTGTTTTCACTGTTAGCAATTCAGAAAAGCAAAAATCTGTCAAATGTAACTATACTGTAATGGCTCTATACAGTCTCTCACCCTTACTGCTAAACTAGAGGTCAGTTTCAATTCGGATTTTTAAGAAATTCCACCTCAGTGAATATCTGCCCACACTTCCCTATTTTACATTGTGTTATGTTCAAAGTTCATCAATCAGGATGTGATTATGTGTACACAGCACTTTTACAAGAAAAGAGAGGGCATTAAACCACAAAATTAGGATGAGATACTTCCTATTTAAGTGTATCTGTGTTTAGTGTTGTCAAAAATATCGATTTATCAATACTCATTTTGAATATTTGAAAAGGTTTCAAAACTCATTTTCTGCAGTATTGATACACCAGTACCAGCTGTGCTTTCTTCTTCTTCTTCTCTCTTAACATTATTGTTTACTACAGTCATTCTGCAGTTCCCTGCTACCAACCAAGACAAGAGAAGTAGTTTTGCTGTTATAGCCTTGTTTTCTTTTAACTAAAAATGTAACTTGTATGCCCTCAATATCAGTTTTTCCCCATGGTTTTTAAAAATGGTATTTACTATTGATATTTTTCAGGATATTGTATCAAAGTTAGAGGCTCCAGTTGTTATACGATGAATTTTCACTTTGCTTAATCATCGTATCATGAGCATTTGCTGCTAGATGCAGAAAGACAGACAGACATTGATTGAACTGACCTGGTACCCCTGCCTTCAGCCATGGTGAGATGTCTGTCCCCTCTCCGTGTACCTCCAGTTTGGTTGTATTAATGGGAGCCAACAGTTTGACCACTTCTTCCATCACCTGTTGATATAGACACAGCTTAGTGCTTCTCAGCTCATCACATAGTCTGTTATACACAAGCTCTTTTCAAATATGGTAGTGTAATTTCAAGATGCATTGTCTTATTTTTTAATTATGTGGCTTTTGTAATTCAGACACCGGATTATAAGCCAAAAGTGAACATTTACTCAGCATGTCACAAGACGTTACAGTGTCACATCTACATCGAAGATTCAGTCACTCAGTGGTTAAGCGTGAGTTTTCTGCATTAAAATACACTGATGTTAAATCAGAAGTTCAAAGTTGAGACTAGTTAAAAATGTCCAATCTAGGCAGCAATGGTCTGAACGTAGGTTTAATATTAAGTAGGGATTAGATGGAGGGAAAACAGCACATTCACTGCACTGAGTATTAATTCATGCCACCTTGTAGATTCTGTGCTTTGCAGAATTCAGACTTTTATGCCTGAATAAATACTTAATAATTGTGTGATACTGTTGTGTTTTCAATCCTACCTTTCGTGCTGCATCACTGCCAGTAAACTGCAGTGCCACAGGGTTGAATGTCCCCATGTCAGACTCCATGACCAGGTCAAAGTTTGACATGTTCACCTGGGTGGGGAGAGGAAGCAGAAAAGAGTAGGACACAGAGCAGATACAGGAGGTGAAGGATCAAGAGAGGCCACAGAGTCATAAAAAACACCCTAAGGTGTGCTTGAATGATTAACATGATTAACAAGCTTGAGCCAATGGAAACAGTGGACCACTCAGTAATCCTCATACAAGGCTTCAAGAGGTGAATCACACTCAACCAGTCACTGGGAGTTGCTGGTACAGCTGCCCTAATGTACTGAGAAATTCCTAATATGTATTGAACATTAGAAGTGTTACAGTACACTGGTTAAAAACATGCACTTAACTCATACCTCTGTTTTGACAGTATAGGTCATTGTATGCAGGGTTCCCATGGTCATGAAATTCCTGGAAAACTTTTCCAAATGTTGTGGAAAACTGTGTTGAATTGTCACTAGTATCATGTGACACAACAGTGTGTGCAACTAGTTGGTACTGGGAATGTCTAACAAGCAAGTTAAGTTAGCTAGCAGTTTTTGTATACGCAAATGCCTGGGTAGTATGTGTTAATTTATGTATGGCTTTCAAACTGCAAATATAATACATGACTAAAGAGAGGCTGACCCTGCCTGTGCTGGATGTGAGCTCTGCACCAAAACGCTTGACGTTGGCAACAAGGGGGAAACAGGTTCGGTCAGCCATATTGAAGGGAAAAAGCATCAAGATAACCAAAAGACAGCTCAACAGGCTGCCAGCGTCAGCACATATTTCACACCTGCTGTAGCCAGACCAGATAAAGTTACAGCTTAGTAGACAAATTTCATTCCATATTCCATGCTACATTTTTGCTCCCATGCCTGTCTTATGGACAAAGCCCCCTGGAGTAAGAACCTCGCTATTGCGCCCTATGATCGCTATTTCAGCATAACGTTACCTAGTTTATACTACTTAAATAAAGTGGAAAAGATATGGGAAGGTTTTGAACATTCATTGGTAAAAATGTGTGGGAACCCTGTAGGGGTCAACTGCATCATAGGCAGCTAAAGCTCTAAAGAAGCTGGTTTGCTGTCTAGATCCTTTGCACAAAGAAAAATCTGGTAGCTAGCCAAGGTCTGTTCAGCTCACTGGGAGAACATTTTCTATGCTCCTATACTCTATACTTTCACAGTGTGGTCTGACCCTCCCTGCTGCTTACTAGCAGGGTCAATTTGCTTTACTGCAGTAACAGTAGACAGTACCTTGTGTAGATCAAAGTACTGCTGCGCTCCGACCCCACCCTGCTCCTCAGCTGTCCACAATACTGCTCGCAGGGTTCTCCTCGGACGCAAACCTGGAAACAGACAAAGACTCATAAACATACAAAGCTGTGAATACATAAAGAAAGAGAAAAATTACAGCTCCAGTTAACAAACGACACAACTGCCATGTATAGTGATGATACTGTATTTCTAACTCTTTAGAACTTGTAATACACATTAAAGTTACTGTATTCCTGACTAAACCTTTTTATCACTGGACCTTGTTCTCCTCTTGTTTGGATAACACGGTCCCACTGTAGGGTTACTGAGTTACACTCTTGTCTCCATAACTATACTGTGCTGTACATCCGAGCCTGTTTCCTAAATATGTTGTCCTTCTTCCTCTAAAAACAGTTGGAGGAAATTACAGTTTACAGTCTGTGGAATTGTTTTATAATTTGTACCTAAGTTTGGAACAGGATACTTTGCTCCCTGAATACAGAACGTTGTGTTTCGCTCCCTCATTTATGGAACTAGTTGGTCTAGTCACTTGTTTAAAAAGAAGATGGCTGATCTCAGTAGGGCAAACAAGAGAAGTAAATAATTAACTTGACTTTGTTTTTAAGGTTGTGTAAGCTTGCTGCCATCCACATACTTTTCATTCATTCATAAAATATGTACATGTTTTTTCAGTGGAAGTTCATCTGTGCAGCATCATGCACAGTATATGCATGTGCCTACAGTATAGGACATGTTTGTTTTCATATTACCTAAGTCCTTGATGAGGGAAAGGGCTTCCCACGAAATCATGGCTCCACCTCCGTCATCCATGGCGCCTTGGCCCACATCCCAACTGTCCAAATGGCCGCTCAGTAACACGACCTAGCAGATTTGACAGATAAAGAGATGTATAAATAGACATGAGGAGACTGTGGTGTGACGCTTAAAGGGATAGTTTGATGTATGAGGTACTTATCCCCAGTCAGTGTTTTACATACAGTAAATGTCTGTTGGCACAACCCAGTTTGGAGAAGCTGCTTTACCTTGCTGTTAGACGATAACCAATGGGGAACTGAAGCTGTTGATTGCTCTCTACAAAGCCAAACTCCACTGAGAAAAACAGTATAATAACACAGACTAACTGATTGAGACAGCAGTAGACTAGTACGTTTTGCTGCTTCCCCTGTCCACAGCAGTACAGTGCTTTCGTGTCAGTGCTGCTTTCTGCTTCCCCAAACTTGAGGCATGGCGACTACCATCTACTGTAGGAAATACACCGACAGGATAAGTACCTCATACAATCCCACTTCAAAAGATCAGAACTATTCCTTTAAGCTTGGTGCAAATGCAAGAGAATGGGATCAGATAACACTCTCTGGCCCATATCTACATTTTATTAAAGCAAACTCAAACATGATAGGGCTCCGATTTGACTCTACGTATTTACAATAAAAAAATGTTTTTTATCAGCAAGGACATACAGCCCGCCTCACAAAAACAGGAAAACAAAGACGAAAACACACAGTTCAGACTGATATGCCCATTTCCAGGAATCTGAAAGGGGTTGGATTCCTGTCAGTGGGATGATCCTGACCTGCTGTTCCAGGTTACAAAACATTTTCTGACCTGAGCAAGTCCAGTCTGGACAATGACCCAGAGGCCACACATTCTGTTAAAACAAGAGTGAAGTGCAACTCCTCTCTTGCGTAAGAGAAATGCTAATATATTTTTTTAGGCATTGCAGGGTCAGTCTTAGCTCAAAGCACCACTGTATCTAAGTGCAGCCTTACAAAGCCACTAGCATGGCTGTAGACTTGTAGTCTTGTACATTTTCATCAGCATTTCTATCTGCTTAAAGTTGAAGGTTCCATTAGTGTGCCTAAAAATTAATTTAATAATATTAACATTTGTGAAATGTGTAGTCTACATGCTTAAATGCTTTTAGCATGCCCTAGGAATGCATCAGCTGGGAATGTAAGACATACACACATTTAGTACAGATACAACACAGATAAGGCGCCATGTGCAAGATCTATAAATCACATGTCGACCTCTAAATTTCCTCTAACTTAGGTTTTCCATGTAAGGGTTTATCCCAGGTTACTGCATGCTTCAGGGATTTCACAGTCCAGTCTTTGAGTCGGAATCTGGCCATAAACACACTGAGCTTGTAATAATTCAGCCCAGCTGCGGTGATGAAAGCAATAGGACATTCATATTTATTAAAACCCCACATGAATTATTTTTCTGTTGTGCTGCAATTCAAACACTGGGTAACCTCAGAGGGCCTCTGCTGGCTCCTGTTGACTTTATATTGCTACACTGTCACTCTACTAAAGGGTACAGCTACCTGACTAGTAATGCTATTAGTATGCTTATGGCTACAGCTAAATTTGTTGTAGTTAACTAGTTTAAATTGAGATTAACAAAGTATTAAAATGATGCTGAGATGTGGTTCGGTGGCATGTAGTTAAGATGGGAAGGAAAACATTTTTTTTAACCTAATACACACTGACATTTATGATCATTATCACTTTCACGCTACATAATTTGTTTTTAGCCGTAACTATAAACAGAAAGCCTACATGACGAGATATTTTAGATTAAACGGGTAATATTGCCATGAAGAAAAAATGGAAGATGTAGGAGTTAAGTGGGTGGAAACAATCCTAGCAACTCATCCCTCGCAGATGACTGGCTCTAAAAGGCTAAACTGTGGAAATGACTCACTAAACCTCAAATGGACATCTTTCTATGAACGTGGGCAAACACACGCACACACACACTCCAACCACAACTGCTGCCACTGCCAGCTGGAGCACTAAGTCACAGCGCCAGAAATGATGTCAACCATGCCATGTGTTTCATTTCCCTTTTCTATAATGAGCGACCAAACGATGGTTCCCAGATAAGAATAGCAACAGCTTACATCAGCAATGTTCCTCTCATCCAAGTCTTCTGACTGATTTTTTGGTTAACTCCACTTATTTTCCACGAATTAAACAGGAGAGGCTGCAATTTGTAAAGAAGGGGTGCGTTCACTTGAATGACACACAGTGGGAGCTGCTGAGATATATTTTGGACACAATACCATTCAAACAAAGTGAGTGTTCTGTAAGCTATCAAAGTCAGGAGTCTTGTGTTTGTGCAATCTTGGACTATAATGTTAGGATGTGATGTATTTGCAGGCTCAAGAGGCTGTGAGGGAGTAAAGGCTTACACACACACACTCCTAGTGTGAGTTTCCCAATGCAACACTATCTACCTTCATCTGCCGACAAAATTTATCTTGTCAGATATTAAAACGTGTACAGACGCCTCTGTTCGTAACTCAACATGCACACTTCCTTAACGACGATAACAACACCTCTGCTCCAGGCAGCCTCCACCTATATTAGGATCCACCATGATTCACAGGACACTGGAAATTTCACACACGCCTTAAGTGTGTGATACATGGAAAGGAAAAATGTTAATTCAGTCTGATCAAGTCTAACAAGAAGCTTCTTCCCTGTTTTCTGGAGCTTGATTCACACAGGTTTTAACACTCATCCTTACAGATCAGAGCAGCTACAATTTACATACCCTGCTCAGCTATTTAGGACATACTAGTTCAAACTGACTGGGGCTGTACCTGTGGATGGGAAATCTTGATCCTGCTTCTCTTCCACTTTTCTTCAGACAGATGCAACAGCTTTGAGCAGACAGTAAAGACCTCAAGACAGTTTCTTCCACTGACTTCAAGTTAAATCTGCCACACTAGTCCTGACTGTTTACCCACATCTGTGTACCCACACTGGGCAACGGGTGCCTTGGTGCTGAGCATGTCACATCTGGTATCCTGAAGTTGCTGCACTGTTTTCAGCCCTGACAGAAGCATTAGTGGGATTTTCTGTTCATCATACTGCCTCCTCTACAAACACACCAGCTTTCATTGGAGATTTGTGCAGCGGCATCATGTCCGTTTATCAGGTTCTACCTGTGAAACATGTTTGTGTCCTTCTACATATGTGTGAAGGACCTGTGTGTGACATTGTGTGACACTGCACTGCTCCCTTGCAAGCTGGGTCAGGGAATGTGCTTCTGACTTAGAGCTAGACATACTTTGTATTTTATGACTGATGAGGCTAATAGTTGCATGTAGGTGTCTGACCATGTGTGTCCACCCTGCGACAGACCGCCTGTCCAGAGTGCACGACACCTTTCGCACAATGCATGCTGGAATCGGATTATTTGATCCTATTTTCAGGTAAATGTCCCTGCTAAGCAACACTGTGCATCCCCATTCACGCAAAAGCTTCACACACAGAACACTAGTTTTACTTCACAAAATCTGAAAATGAAGAACAGATACTAAGGATGACTGCAGACTCCAGTGTTGCAGTTCAGAAACATCCACCCAAAAGCAAATTTAAATGATCATTCAGCATGTTTACATTAACGTGTTCACAAATCACAACTCTGTTTGTACCATGAAAGAATAGTTTGATTTCAGCAGGCCTGTAATTTTAGAGTTGTTGAGACTCGCCAATAGAAAGAATGCAGCGATCTGAGAAAAATGCAGGAATGTCTGGCGTGTTGCGATTTATATAACTATTTTCATATGGACAGAGTTTGGGGATTTTTGTAAATAGGATGCCTAGGCAGAGACATTTCTCGGGAATTTTCAGAAGAAACTGAAAAACTTCTAATTCCAAGGTATAATTTTTTTTTTTCAAAAACACATCCAAAAAACATTACTAACAGGTTATGAGTTGTTTACACAAAGTATTTCCATAGAAAAATAAATCATACTGACCGACTCAAAGTGACATTTGTCAGAATTTCCAGCTGAATTGAGCCTCAGCACTCTGGAAAGATTAGATCACACACACACACACACCAGGAAAAGGCAGACTAAACAGCTGTGGGAATATCTGGAGTCGGCAAAAAAAAGAGGTTACACTATTCCTTCCCCGTCCCACCAAACCGTGGAAAAGAGAGAGAAAGACTAATTAAGAGAGAGACAAGAACATAATAATAGAGTCTTTCTGAGGACATCTGTTTCCCATACAATTAATTTGAAGGGCCCACCCAAATAGATTTGACCCAACACTGAAAGACTTGAAAAGAGAGACTGCTGCATGACAAGACACATAGATCAACCAGAAGGACACTTGGACAGCGCAGGCCTCTGCCAAGGCCAACAGTCCAGTCTTCTATGGTATGCAATTCTGCATGCAAAACCACTATGTCTGAATGCATTTCCAAAACTATTAGAATTATGCCAATATGTTTGTGTCCTCTGAAGCCTCGTCATCTGAGATGTGCATTTATTATGTACTTCTAAACTGGAAATATTTCACATACCTAACATACCTTTGTGAAAACCAGAAATCACTTAATTATCACGTACAGATATTAAATGCTCAGACTGGCATCACATCATGAACATGGCAGCTTGTTTTCAAAGACAGTTGCTATGAAAAACTGTGTTCACGAGAAAAAAGTTTTACATGAGTCAACTTTAAATTAATTTCTGTGGTGGATTTTATTGCCAACAATTCACATTTGAATGTGAGTCAGCGCATAATTAACATAATGTGTGGGTATTTACGTTTCCAAAGCCACACCTTAGTTTGAGAAAGAAGCTTTGTTATGATTGTGGCAGTGTTACAATTGTACTCTAACAACTGCTCTCTGTATCAAGTTTGAAGAACTGCATGTTTAGTCAGAGCCATCAATCATTGTTAGTCAACTGCGATCAGACTGTCAAACTAGGCAGCACTGATCAAATATGAACCGAGATTCTGTCATTGTATTGTCAATTTCTCGCCTCAAATATTTTCAGAAACATATTTTAGTGTACTGTTCAGCTGTAAACTGAAAAAGTTTGTGACCCGGCCACCACGTTGGATACAGTTAAGCGAAACACTGCCCACCAGGCTGGACCGACTTTCTCATTTTACAGCTCAACAGTACACTAAAATATGTTACTGAAAACATTTGAGGTGAGAAAAAGGTAGTGTTGGGAAGGTTACTTTTTAAATGAGAGATGACTAGTTACTCTGTTAAAATGTGATAACCCATGTAACTACATTCTTACTGTATCAAAGTAATGTAATTTATTACATTTGATTACTTTTCATTTCTTTTCTAACACAGTTTTTTTAACTGGATAATAAACTTGAAAAGTCCTAAAAACATAAGCACACAACTGAAATTTGTTGCTGAAATTTGACGCAACAACGACCCATGGTGTCCAGAAATATGCCATAAGATGACTTTCCAGGATGGCAAAAAGATGTTGTGTTGTATGTATGAAGGTTATATTCTACGTATAAGCTTTTTACTGAGACCCCTTTGTTAGTAAATGTGATTTAATTACATATTATTTTTCAGTAACCTTTCAGGAACAGTTTCCATATATAATATTTTGTAATTTAATTACAATAGAATAGGCAGAGGAGTATGATTTTTTTCACAGTTTATCTGTCTCATTCAGTGCTGTGAGACAGTTTCAGCAAATATGACAAAAGTTATTTCTTTCTATAAAAGTTACCCACTACAGCTTTAAGGAAAGTGGAATATAATTTGTGTATCTGCCCCATGAGTTTCATTAAAACGGGACTGGTAGTTTACCCATAATCATGCTGATAAACAGTCAAACAAACCAAACTAAAAATATAACCTCCTGGGCAGAGGTAATAATAGGTCAGACAGACAGGTGTCTGTGATGGTAGTGTGGGTTACCTGCTCAGGGTGTTGCCAGCCTGTTATCTCAGCCACTGTGTTGAAGGAGTCAGCATCAGGCAGAGTCTTGGCTTCCATTGTGAGTCTGACCACAACCTTCTGGCCTCTCTGTGCCATACGTGACATCAGCTCAGCATCCTCTATGGTGATACAGGCTGTGGGGATACGCTTCACTCCATCTTGGTAGTCCTGCCAACCAGTGTGGGGACTAGAGAGGCAAAGACAGGGACATGTGAATCTTCAGATTAAACCTTCATTTCACCAAGGGTATTTCCTCATAGTTTAGATAGATCGATAGATACCTGTTAATAGAGAATGGAGTAACAGATCGAATGAGTGAGGCCACAGCGCCCACTTTGGCTGCCTCAGAGGCACCAAGTTCACGGTAAGCCACCGTCTCCCCGTAACTCACAAATGGTTGGTTAAAGACCACAATCTTCCCTGTGGCCTCACTGGCTCTACGCTTCAGTTCCTCAAAAGACTGCACCACCAATACCTCTGCCTCGATTCCTGGAGAGATAAGAGAGAGACATGGAGGAGTAAAAGGGAAGTGGATGACAGATTACAGGCATTAAAAGGATTTTATATGGTAGGGTTTTTACCCTCAGCAGGCGTCCCTACACTGCTACCCAGTCCCAGTATAGCCAGACTTTTGGCCCTGGGTGCAATCATTTCTGCACTCTCCTTCCCTCTGACCCAGTGAGGGATTTTGGCCGGCTCTGGAGTAAAAAAGGGTGAAAGGGGACAAAAAAACTACAGTTACACTAACCAGAGACATTGCTGTAAAAGATCCCTTAATTTGTGTAACATTATCCTCATTGCACACTCCTCCCATCCTGCGTCCAAGCGAGACAGATGACAAGGCATACTCACCTAAATGTACGTCCAGCCCATCCTGTGACATAGCACTGTACATGTATTTGATGGCCAACTCCAGGTTGTGTGAGCCACTGACACGGTTCCCTATGGTGTCGGTGAAGTCGGCCAGCCGTCTGTGAGAGCGGTTCTGAGCAGCTCCAAACACAGCCAGGTCAATAATCTTTTTGGCCACATCAGTATAGCCTGCTACCTCTGCAGCTATGTCTGAGAAGGAATTCACGCAGAAAAAAAGGAACTCAGGGTTATAATTAAATCTTTTTTGTTGTCAAGAGTATCTTTTAACCTTTGAAAAAGCTTTTCAGCCATAAATTCAAAGGGAGTAAATACAGTGTCCTTGTCACTCGAGTGAGGAGGCAGATATACAGTCATGCATGCCACTATATTATATAATTTTATTGGCACATAATTCAAGGCTTGTACGACCTGTTCCAATATAAATACAATAATGCAATATAAGTACACAGTGACTACCTTACACAGCATGAGTAAGCTGTGATTAAACTGAGCATAATGACTGAGTCTGCATACCTAGTGTCAATCTATGATAAATGGACTGGTAGGTGGGTGTGGTCTAATATATCCCAAATGAGTGAAGCGAGGATCACAGGATAGGGATTTAGCATCTAGGTTTAACACTGGGTTCCTGTTCTACTGTTTGTTTTCCTATACTAAAGCCCATTCACACCCTTAGTCCATCCACTCATGTGGTTTCACTTATGGTGCCTGATTAGACCTGTTCTCAAGAATGTGCTTGATTGACAGCTTGCTCACTCTCTTTTTAGCTTTGTTGCACCTGCTAGGGCGGGACAGTTTGTATTGTTGTTTGTTTAAAGAGTTTGGTAATGTTTCATCATTCCCAGCAAAGCTCCACCACACCTCAACCTGAATATAGTGTCTAATTAGCTAGGGAAATTTGACTAGAGTGGAGACAGAGTGTGCCAAGGGTGGTCTCAGGATAAATGCCAAGAAAACTGGGGTCATCACCTACAACATCCTCTTTGACCAAGCACCTCTAATGACTTCAGAAGGTACTGCTCTGAAAGAAGTCAATGACTGTAAACACCTTGGCTAATGGATCAACTCAACAGAGCAGGACATTTAAGTGAGGAAGGCTCTAGCGTCAAAGGCTCTAAACAGCATGGCCAATGTGTGGAAGTCCAACCTTTCCAGACATACCAAGCTCAGCTTCTTCTCAGCTACCGTAGACTCTGTTCTCCTATATGAATGTGAATGCTGGACCCTGAAGCCCAACCTGCTTCATGGTCCGGCATTCAATAAGGTGAGCATCCCTGGATGGATACTGCAACAGAATGCTATGTACAGTACTAATCATGAACCAGGGCATGCATCAAGAATCTATAGAGGTGCCTTGGGTGAGTGAGACATAGCATACAGGAGAATGAGACTGGCCGGTCACTACCAGAGACACTGGAAGCTCCCAGCCAGCAAACTGGTGCTGTGACAGCCAACACATGGACATTGTTCACAAGGACGTCCCACATCAACATACGTTGGTGAGCTAGCCAGATGCACATTGGATCGACATGACTAGAGACGCCAATGGAAGGAGGGCAAATTTTATACACTTGTTTGGGTGTGCATGGCCTTTAACCTATTTCACTTCAACCTATTCCATTGAATTAAAAAGTACTGCTGGCAACCCTTATGTCCACACACTCACATAACTCTGTCCATCACTACATGTGTGAAGGTAGGAGGGTTTAGGTTACCTTTGCTTGCAGTTTGATTGGATACAGCACCAGCTGCAGCCAAAGACCTTATGGATCCAGCAGAGTGAGGGTGACAGCCACACTGAGCTGACAGCATTAGGAGAAACATGAAGAGGGAGAGGAGGATGGGTGGTCCACCTTCCTGAGCCATCTGCAGACAGAAAGAACATGCTCGTTAGCAGCACATCATTAATGCAACAAATTAACACTGACAACAGGGGATATTACAGTAATCTACAGCACCAAACATGTTAATGACTGAATATAATCCTACAGACATGGCTCCTTATTATGCAATTTAACACTGTAGCATTATACACACTAGTGTTTGGCTCGAGCAGAGAAACTAAGCTAACAGTAAATGTTAACATCACAGTTTTACTTTCAGCCTGACATTAGTGGTCCCGCTTTCCATTTAAATACACAACCAAGACAAAAGCGGTGACGTATCAACAGTCACATTCACTGAGCTTATCTTTTACCAACAAACCGAAAGTTAAGATAAAATATTATCAGATTAATACAGACGAACGGAGGATGGAGAGAAAAGTTCAAAGTTCAGAGACAGACAATGAATTTAAAGCTTAAATTTTAACCTCTATAAAATATCATAAACACGAACCCTTCAGGCCAAGTTAGTGTCTTTGTTTTTGTGGACGTTACAAGCTGTTATGCAGTTTTAAAATACTCTCACAGACGAGAGTAATTCCGAAACTTAAACACCGTTTCCGTGCTCGTGATTTCAGCGAGCCTGACGAAAAAGTAAACTTCCGGTCCGACTGTTTTCAAAATAAAAGCACTTTTTTTTTGCTACACAGTCTATGGAAGCAACAAAATATGTTATAACCCCCAAAAAACTTTCCACATACAGTACAGGCCAAAAGTTTGGACACACCTTCTCATTCAATGCGTTTTCTTTATTTTCATGACTATTTACATTGTAGATTCTCACTGAAGGCATCAAAACTATAAATGAACACATGTGGAGTTATGTACTTAACAAAAAAAGGTGAAATAACTGAAAACATGTTTTATATTCTAGTTTCTTCAAAATAGCCACCCTTTGCTCTGATTACTGCTTTGCACACTCTTGGCATTCTCTCCATGAGCTTCAAGAGGTAGTCACCTGAAATGGTTTCCACTTCACAGGTGTGCCTTATCAGGGTTAATTAGTGGAATTTCTTGCTTTATCAATGGGGTTGGGACCATCAGTTGTGTTGTGCAGAAGTCAGGTTAATACACAGCCGACAGCCCTATTGGACAACTGTTAAAATTCATATTATGGCAAGAACCAATCAGCTAACTAAAGAAAAACGAGTGGCCATCATTACTTTAAGAAATGAAGGTCAGTCAGTCCGGAAAATTGCAAAAACTTTAAATGTGTCCCCAAGTGGAGTCGCAAAAACCATCAAGCGCTACAACGAAACTGGCACACATGAGGACCGACCCAGGAAAGGAAGACCAAGAGTCACCTCTGCTTCTGAGGATAAGTTCATCCGAGTCACCAGCCTCAGAAATTGCAAGTTAACAGCAGCTCAGATCAGAGACCAGATGAATGCCACACAGAGTTCTAGCAGCAGACCCATCTCTAGAACAACTGTTAAGAGGAGACTGCGCCAATCAGGCCTTCATGGTCAAATAGCTGCTAGGAAACCACTGCTAAGGAGAGGCAACAAGCAGAAGAGATTTGTTTGGGCCAAGAAACACAAGGAATGGACATTAGACCAGTGGAAATCTGTGCTTTGGTCTGATGAGTCCAAATTTGAGATCTTTGGTTCCAACCGCCGTGTCTTTGTGAGACGCAGAAAAGGTGAACGGATGGATTCCACATGCCTGGTTCCCACTGTGAAGCATGGAGGAGGAGGTGTGATGGTGTTGGGGTGTTTTGCTGGTGACACTGTTGGGGATTTATTCAAAATTGAAGGCACACTGAACCAGCATGGCTACCACAGCATCCTGCAGCGACATGCCATCCCATCCGGTTTGCCTTTAGTTGGACGATCATTTATTTTTCAACAGGACAATGACCCCAAACACACCTCCAGGCTGTGTAAGGGCTATTTGACCAAGAAGGAGAGTGATGGAGTGCTGCGGCAGATGACCTGGCCTCCACAGTCACCGGACCTGAACCCAATCGAGATGGTTTGGGGTGAGCTGGACCGCAGAGTGAAGGCAAAGGGGCCAACAAGTGCTAAACACCTCTGGGAACTCCTTCAAGACTGTTGGAAAACCATTTCAGGTGACTACCTCTTGAAGCTCATCAAGAGAATGCCAAGAGTGTGCAAAGCAGTAATCAGAGCAAAGGGTGGCTATTTTGAAGAAACTAGAATATAAAACATGTTTTCATTTATTTCACCTTTTTTTGTTAAGTACATAACTCCACATGTGTTCATTCATAGTTTTGATGCCTTCAGTGAGAATCTACAATGTAAATAGTCATGAAAATAAAGAAAATGCATTGAATGAGAAGGTGTGTCCAAACTTTTGGCCTGTACTGTATACTAATATGACACTAAAAAGCAAAAAATGTAAATGAATCTATTCAACACATTTGGCATGTGTCATGCATTTCAGTACTATTTGCATAATATATTACTGCACACAGTATTTGTCATAAAATACAGGTCAGTATAAGCAAAGGACACAAAGATTTAGGCCCAGGAATATTATTTAAAGTCATAACAGACCTCTAATAATTAATTCAGTTTAATTCAGTTTTATTTATAAAGCCCAATATCACAAATCTCAATTTGCCTCAGAGGGCTTTACAGCATACCACATCCCTCTGTCCTTTGGACCCTCACAGCAGATAAGGAACAACTCCCCCAAAAAACAAACCCTTTAACGGGGGAAAAAATGGTAGAAACCTAAGGAAGAGCAACTGAGGAGGGATCCCTCTTCAGGATTTAGGTTCACACCTGACACTATTTACCTGTTGTTTCATTCATAGATTGTACTCACCTTTAATTAAAATTCAGACAAAACTACATCACAAATTGTACTTGAATTTGTAATCCCAGCATAAATCAAGTACTTGTTCTAAAACTGACATGAATGAAGGAATATGATACTCTTGTTATTATAGTTAGCATTATGTGAAGATGTGATTCTTGATAGAGAAGTATCAAGTGTACTTGCAGAACTCTGAAAGAGGAACAATACAGCTTGATATATGAACCGCATTGGTGTTACTTTGACTATTAAATTGCAGAAAGTACATCCCTGTCAATGCGGCCTTATTCTCACATTACATAGAAACCAGATTATGAAGTATAAGGATGAAAAACAACGACTGGCCAGCTCACTCAGTGTAAAAGTCCATGGTACGGGCAGGGAGTCCAAAAATGCATCCGAGGTGCTCTGACTGTAATTAAAATGCTTTATTAATACATGGATACATGGATTTATGTTTGTTTTTTTATCCTTATATGGCTATTTGCCCTATCCTTGAAGAACTGCCTGCTTTTTTCCTCACTGTCAGATTATAAAGTACGTTGGGGCACTTTAATATAATGTGTTTTCTTCTGATATTTCCACAGCTCCTCGTCAACAAGTTTATTTGCCAAAAAGATGTGCAGTATGTATTGTATCAACCCTGAAGAAAACACAGTACTTCTCTGCCCACATCCCAATCTGTGGTTTTCATCCCCCGTCCTCTACCACTAATCATCTGCGTTCCTCTGCAGTCATTGGCATTCACTGTGAATGTCCCACCCTGTGAGAAGGGTCAGATTAATGTTTACTTGTGCTTTTCTTACATTCTACTACTACCTCAGTGTATTACTTTATTTGTGAACGTGTGTACTTGAGTTTGACTTCTGTTTATTTTTAAGCCATTTGCTCTTTGCTTAGTGATAGATGACACTGTCTCTCTGTGTTTCACCAGCCTCTTTCTTCACTGTTCCATCTGCCATTTGTGTTTTCTTCTCTGCATCATTGGATTTTGGAAAACATCTGACCATTTGGCTGCGTTCGCATGCTGCTGGCTTGGTTTCACACAGTGGTTTGAAAACTTTTTTTTCTGGCACCTATGTTTGTAAGAGGATGTTTTTTGAGGCTGGGAGGAAATATTTTTCTGCGCTACTGTGCAAACAACTGGAACAAAAGCTACAACTGAGTGCTTTTACCTGCAGCTGACCTTTCAATGTGGGAACATTTAACACAACGTGTCATAACCAATAGCTCACTGCAAACTTGAAGTGCCCAGTCAGAGCTTTTGTGAAACTCTATAGAATAATGAAAGGATTGTTTAAAGAATCTGGTCTCAGTTTTGCCTATTTTGCCTGTATGGAAACATTAACTTTTTGCCTCAGAGGCAAAAAAGTCCACAGATTTGTATGTGTAGGAGGAATATAGATAAAAAGGGGGGATGAAAGGCAAACAGGTCAATAAGAGGGCAGAGAGAAAAAGGGACCAGGAGGTGGTTGAATATTAGCACACATGCTGTTGAGTGAATACATGTGCTGTCCGTGGATGTGTGTGTACGAGACCGAAGAAGGAATGTACGCTCGGACCAATCCCCAAAGCCAAAAAAATGACAAACAGCCAGTTTTAGAATTGCATTAAAGCCACATCTTTTATGCAGTAGTGAACCTCATAAAGTACACCATTTCAGCAACACAGTTCTCCATTGGTCAAATCATATGCTTAGGTCACGATTTGATCTGCGAGATGAGTTTTGGTTGGTCGCCACCACTGTGTGGGTGTTTATTTGCTCAAAACAAGGCCTCGGTCAATTCATATTCAACTTCGGTTAAACTGAAAATTAAAGATCCAACATATTTACAAGGAACTTATTATTCATCTCTAATCATTTATCAAATGTATTCATATGAAAAAGGGTGTTTTAAAAAAATCTATTAAACTGAAAATGAATTGAACCAAGACTTGTCAAATACATTTAAAATACAAACATTTAATAACAAGACTGAGCAGTAGGCACAAAGAGGCTTAGATCATGAGTAAATACTGTACAATCCCAATTTATCACTGACATGTTAACCTGGATTATAGTCTTAGCATAAGCAAGTATAAATTAATACATATAAATTATAGTATCATCGACATACTGTATAATCTTACAGAGATTCTACAACAGAAAAGTTATTGTGTGTCATCACCTGTTGGATTGCTAGCAAGAGCTAACCCATTGTCCTGACCCTCTATGCTTAGGGTTTATGTTAGACATTTCTTACGTCCATACAAACAGAAATGTCAGAGTTTTTCCTAGCCTACACTGGCACAGTGGAGTCTAGCCCAGAATTAATCCAGTTAAGGTTCTGTACAGCTTAAAGGTAAAGCAACTGTGAATGAATGTCTACAATGTAATGTGAGGCACGGAGGATTCAAGCGCCCAACAATATTCACGTCATCAACGGTAAGTCACAGTGGGTTAGCTATAAGATTGCGTTGTTTATTCCAGCCATGGTAAATAGGTAGTTTGTATTTGCATTCAGAAAACTGCTTGAACGAAGTAATTTCTATTATGGAAAATATAATTATGTCACGTAAACTCTATTAAGACTTGACTAAAAAACAAAAAATAAATGTAGCCTTACTCACCTTTTTTTTTTTTTTTTAACTGACGTTACTGCCTCATGAAGGGAATCAAACTCTTAATAGATACAAACACTGCTGCTACAAACTTTACAACAGATAGTAGCAGTGACCTTTGAAACTAGATGATGTAAAAACAAGCAAAAATAATGACTTCGACCTTATTAGGAACATCCTATACCAAC